ACTGACCTGGAACAGGTGACCGCCCTGGCGCCGCGTGGCCGGGCTGAGGGGGGCCACCGGACTGAGCGTGCTCCAGAAGTGGATGTTGGACAGCAGAGGGCTGGGGGTCAGCAGGAGGGTTGGAGTCTGGGGGGCGGGACAAAGAGGTCAGAGTGCTCAGTTCGGATGTTTCTGGTCTAGAGAAGCTAATTTAACCACAGAAATGAGCACCTGGAGCCAATGGTAAGCTAAATGAACTAAAAACCTCTGTTTTTTACAGAAACAAAGCAAAAAAACTCAAAATCCAACAGCTAACACTAAATAAATCAACACAAATTCCACAAAACTGAGAGAATTTGACAAAGAAGGGGCGAGCAGAAGTTGATGAAACTAATTCCACTGTTTCCCTGCTAACAGCCCCACCATATCGCTGTTCCCAACATTAGACAAGGTCCCTCCATGCCGATGACTACAACTAAACTGGACAGAAAATGGCCTTCTACTAATTTAGAGGAATGTCAGTTCTTCACGGGAACAATCTAATAACGGAGCAAATTGCTTGGTGCAACAGGAAATGTCACCAGTGGGTTGGAAATGGGGGGTGGGCGATATGGCACTTTTTTTCCTTTTTGAAGCTCATCTGATGATAGATTTTCTTTTCTATTATAGTAAACAAAAAACTGCTGGAAACACTACTTCCACATGGCCAAAGCAACATTTGACAGTCGTCTAGATTGAAATGACAGATGTATCAGGGTTTGACAAGTTTGCTGTGATCCAATAAAAAATAAATTAAAAAAACCCTTTGCATAACAGTCAAGCTGTTGGTGTCTACTGATGAGGCTTTTCCACTAGGAGGGGCTATACAGTATTTTCTACTTCCATAAAGCAGTTAAAACTTTAGACCCTTTTCGGCCGGGGTTCCACCATAGCCCAGTAGTGCGTGTTCTTTAACAACAAAAAAAGGCACATATGCTATTTTGTCCATGCTGCTTCTCTTACTAAAGACATCAGTATCACTGATAACTTATCTGAAGTGCCTGCACTCAAAATCCATCCCAGGCAGAGCAAAGAGTCTCTCATACGGGAGCTGACTTATGCTCCAAACTGGATTTCATGACCAAACCTCACCTGACCGACACTGTCTGAACCAGCAGATCGAATTAAGCCCCAGCATGCTTTGCTCATTTACAATCTCATGTGATCTACACATGGCATCGCATCCCCGGGACCACGTGTCCCACATAGCTGCAGCTCTGCTGCCACCTGCTGGCCGGAGCTGGAAGCATGCTTCTGTCCTGGAAAACTGCAGACACAGCCCACTTTAACCTCCTGAGGCCTGACTTTTATTCGGAGTGCATAACTTGCATTCTTCAAAATTTATGACATTAGTAGGACTCTATCAGTTTAAAAACTAGACTTTGTCATGGTACAGGTAGTTTTTCTTCGTATAGGCTCAGTGGGTTTATCTTCATATATAAAATGTTTGTTTATATATTTGATTAAATGTTTTTACAATTTGGTTTAGACAGTCCAAATGACTTATTTACTAAATTTGAATAACACAATAAGAACATGATTGGTTAAAAATGTATAAAATTATTTTACTTTACATTTCGAACAAAAGTGTCCGATAGCGTCTACTATGCGGCCATGAGGACAAATTTGAAAGGAAAAACAAGCATCATGGTAAAGAGAGGTAAAAATGGAATGTCCTCATATGAGGACGCCGGGTGTCAGGAGGTTAAAGCATTCTGGAGGGGGAACTTATCAGCAGCTGTGATGCTGCAGAATAAAGTCTGGACCTGATTTCAGGTCGGTCCCGTGTCATGTGGGAGGAGCTACGGCAGAAAGAGCAGATCCAGAGAGAGCAGGCCAAAAGCACAAATGCTGGGGTGGTGTTAATAGCACACATGCCCCTGCACACATTCCCTGGTTGTTTGACAATTGCTTCACAGCAGAACTGACTCCACTTTTCAGAACTGGTGATTAAAACATTTCAAACAGGTTCAGCCGAGCTAAAGACCTAAAAGCGTCAGGTAACAAACACCGGACGGGCAGAGCGGGCGCTCACCTGCAGCATGGCCGGAGTGAGCGAGGCGGTGGGCAGCGAGGGGCTGCAGATGTTCATGGGGGAGAAGTCGGAGGCGGTCACCAGCAGGGTGGGCGGGCTGATCTGCAGGATCTTGGGGGGCTTGCGGGTCTTGCCGGAGACCTGGTTGCTGACGGTGGTGCTGCTACTCACTGAGGACGAACTGGTCTCGGCGTCCACCAAACTCTCATCTCCGGACAGGCCGATGTCACTGTCCACCTGATGGACCTGGCGGGCAGGGGTGTGTTTAGGTGGGATTGGGGTTTGTTGGTTAGTGTGGTGTGTGTGTGTGTGTGTGTGTGTGTGTGTACTGACGGTGTCCGGTGCTTGGCTGTCGGCAGGGTGGGAGGACCTCAGCCCCAGGCCGCTGTCCATCCCCAGCTCCTGAGAGGAGTCGGTCAGGAGGCTGGGGGCGGGGCTGGCCGAGGTCAGCCCCGGCAGGCCGAAGGCGGCTTCTGACGGGCGCGTGTGCTGGAACGGGTAGAGGGAGGGGGGCGGGAGGGGCGCGTGCGTGCTGGCGTCTTCGGGCCTGTGGGGGGCAGCCTGGAGCGGGTCCAGGTGGGCGGGGAGGAGGGCCGGCTCCAGGAGGACTGGAGGAGGGGGTGCGGGCTTGGGGGGAGAGTTTCCAAACTTGATGACTGAGGGCAGGGCGGCTGCCTGGGGGGGGGGCGGTGGCACCGCCTCTTGGCTCGCCGTGGCGCCCCTCTTGTCGGCCATCTTTTCCGCCGGGTTCTCCATTTTGATGGACTTGAAAAGCTGGCATCCGTTTTGCAGAGAGTTGAGGTGGAAGGAGGTGTACAGGCCCGAGTGGATGTAGTCATTACGGCTGGACTGCTTGGTGGCCCCCGCCGCCGTGCCTGCCCCCTGCTTGGCCCGGTCAGTGGACTCCCCCTCCTGAGAAGGACCGTCCGCCCGCTTTAACGTAGATGTGAGGCCCTCCACATCTCCACCCTCTGATCGGACAGAAACATCTCCTTTCAGGATGTCGGGGTAGGACACAAAGCGGTAGACAAACTTCTGACCGTTCACCTTCTTTATGATGTTCTACAAGAAACAGAAGGCCACATCAACTGTGCGAGCGCGGCTCCGCCCCTCGTGAGACGCCTCCAGTTAAAAACAGACAGCTGAAAACACAGAAGAGCCCTGTGTGCGTGCACCAGTTTCTTCCTTCCTGTCTACCAAACTAGCGGCCACAAACATACCAGAGCGGCTCTGCCGGGACTGCCCACAGGGCTGGCTGAGCCTCGGTCAAACCACAGGCAGAGTGGGCGACACACTGCTCCCCTTTTCATGCACTTGTCACCAGGCAGTAGGGTTGTCACGATACTAAAATTTTCAACTCGATACCGATACTCAGGAAAATACTCGATACTCGATACCACAAGGATAAAAACAAAGACCCCAAAATTTAACTGAATTTTGACAGGTTAGTGTCTTTCATTTCAAACTGACGTGGTGGCCCGAATTAATTACCCTTATCCTGACCCTAATCCTAACCCTAACCCTGACCCTGCCCCTGACCCTAACCCTCCACCCTTCATAATTGTGAGAAACAATTTTGGGGTTAAACTTGTTTGGACTTATTGTACAAACCTATTTAACATCCACAATTTTAACATAATATTATGGATAGAGTTTAATTAAGTGTTTGAAAGATTAATTTGACTATTTTTAAATTAATGTCTATATTGCCATGAGGCATTACTATTTTCTTGCCTGGGATTTTCCTTTTGGTGACGTAATCAAAATGGCCGATTTGGATGTGGGCTGAGACGGATATGTACTTGATTAATGGTAGCATGTTACTATTAGCCATTAGCCGCAGCTAGCAGTTCAAGGCTAACGTCACGTTAATGATCATAAACAACGTAAATAAATACATAAATAAATCGGAGAGAAGGGGGGTGGTACCGATACTTTTGAAAATGAGTATCGTATCCGGATACAACATTTTAGTATCGATACTTTTTTAAGTATCGATACTTTTGACAACCCTACACCAGGCAGAGGCTTTAAAAGTCCCGTCCCACCAAAAAGTCCTGAGTGGGGACCATTGTGCGGGTCGGTGATAAGTAAAAGGCACACGCACAGACTCCAGTTTGGAGTCTGGAGTCACTCATGCCCGATATGTCTGGATAAATCCAAAGGGAAGACGTTTACTTTATCTGTAGCAGAGTTAAATGAACTGATTTACATTTTGATTTGAATGTGGTGCTCGTGTTAAATCGTGCGTTTGCAGTAACTGTCATATTCTATGATGGCTCCAGAATTGGGGAATATGAAGGAAAACTAAGTGAGAGCTGAGGTGAGGTGAGATAATAGCTATGAAGTTAAACGTGCTTCAGCATCTGAAGACTGTTGGCTGTAATAAACTTAATGTGTGGGCTTTATTACCTGGTTCATTGGTTCTATTATTGGTTCTATTATCCCCTCTGACTTATAACCCGCTCAGAGCACAGGGAGCCCTGACCTTATTATGTTTGCTTCATGAATATAAACCTTACCTTCACTGACAAAGCCAATAAAAAAGCTGTTTCTTTTCCGAACACCCTCCCACCTGATCTTTACTCATGCCCTGTGCCTGGTTCATGCACCTTTTCTCAAATGTTCAGCTTAATTCATTAACATAAGCTTTGCCTTACAGAATTAGTATCTATAACATATTATATAACATATAAAAATATATTTTCTTAATCTTGTAGTTCATAGCTCGTCAAAGATGTGAATTTAAATTATTATCCAGTCCAATTAAATTACATATATATAGTCTGTACTATACAAAAGAGAGCATAGCCTGTAAAATAAAGGTGGATCTTTGTTGACAGGCTCTGAAATGTTGGGGTTAGCTTTAGGTTTTACCCTACACAGCTAACATTTAGCATTGCTGCTATCTCTTGTGTTGGTACTGACTCCTTACTGCCTCAATGAAGAAGTCTCGGCCTCCTTCAAGTGCAAAACCCCACGAAGCGGGGCATGGAAGCCTCCATCGGGCCAAAGCGTGCTTATTGCTGCTTGCAGCTTTGATCGGTATTCATTTTCTGGATGTTTCATAGTGCCTATGGACCAATAGCACAAGCTCTGTGACTGACGCTGATGCTGGGAGGAAGGTGACGTGACAGCGGCCTACCTTGTCGTAGTAGTATCTGAGAGCCCGGCTGAGCTTGTCGTAGTTCATGTTGGGCTTGTTCTTGCGGGCTCCCCACAGCCGGGCCACCTCCTCGGCCTGGAGCAGCTTGAACTCGCCCTCCTCGTTGGTCCAGCATATGAGCTGGTCATTACTGGGATCCAACAGGAGCTGGAGGAGGAACTGCCACAGGGTGACAGAGTTGTCCATGTCTCTCACTGGAGGGAGGAAATAAAGGATGAAAATGCTAAGTAGTTGTCACAATCATCCGTCAGTGTCCACTTTATTAATGCAGGTCACAAAAAGATGCTTATTTCAACCTTTTGAGCTCTAAAACTCATTGGGGAAGTATGTTGGAATTATAAAAGCTTGGACATAAAACCAGGAGTGTTGGGTTCAACTCTCTTTTAACAGTCAAGATAAAGGAGAAGGTTGTTTTGCATGACCAGCTGCAAACAGATGATCCCCTCCCCATATTATCTGCTGGACTTTGTGAAGAGTCAAACCTTGTGAAGATCTCAGACAAAAAAAGGAAAATGACATGCAGCCTTTTCTCCACTTTGGGAGATGACATGACATGATGTAGCTACTACTCAGAGCAAAACATCTTGCCCACATGTGGGTTTCAAATGCTTTTTAAACTTGGAAAATCACCTCAAAGCAGACGGCGTTACTAAAAGTAATGGCTGATTGAGATTACAAAATAACTATATGGTGAATACCTGCAGAAATGAGTTTCTGTATGTGTGTCAGACACAAACACATCAGGAGAATAAATCAACAACTGAGTCATGGAGAATTGAAGCAGCAAATCCAGTTCTTCTTCAGCCGTGTAGCTGGGTGACCAGCATACTACTAGGAGCCTGGAATGTACACAACTGCAAAGGGAGAGGCACAAAAAAACGGATAGTAAAGAAAATGACTGGTTCATCATGTAGGAAGTTTAAGGCCAGCCTGCTCTGGACTGTAAAAAGTCAAAAATAAGAGATTTTTTCCGTATATATGAGTCTGTTTGCACCCTGGAGAGGAGAGCACGAGGACAGAGCAGAAGTCACCAAATAGAGCTGGAAACACAAAGTAGAGCAGGCCAAGATTAAACCTGCCTAATCAGGGCATCAAATTGTGTCCAAAATTGTATGTCACACACAATTGTGTGGAATAAGCTGGCAATACTGTTGTGGCCTGGTAGAATGTTGGTCCTGCAGCTGGAAGATGGAGTAAAAAATGGAAATATTAAAGCAGTACGTGGCTTTTGTGGATACGTTTGCCAAATCAACGGCTCACTCGGTAGTAACACATTCAGACCTATAGAGCTTAAGAGGAAGGAATTAGAAAGCATAACGCGTGCAGCTTAGCTGGGAATAAAAAAATGATCTTCTTCTGCATAGGTCCTTGTTTTTGCTAATTGCTGGATACTCAAACTCTAATTTTGCATTTGCATTGAAGAGCCAGAGTTTCTCTCACCTTTAACCTAACTGTCATTTCACGACTTGGTGTGCTTTTTTTTGTTTTGTTTTTATTTGTACATTCCATGTTTTGGGGCCCAATATGTGTGCTTCTTTTTTTTTTTCCATTTCCACGTCTGTGTGTGTCCGTGTGTGTGTGTGTGTGTGTGTGTGTGTGTGTGTGGGTTACAGTGTGTCCATCCCAGCATGTCAGGATGAGTCAGGGCAGATTTATTCGTGGTCGTAAGAAGCTTATACACACACACACACACACACACACACAATCTGTCCCACACTCACTTGAAAACCGGCGATATGGAGGAGAGAGGGGGGGGGGGGCATAGGGCCGTGTCAAACTGCTGTCACAGGAGAAGATTAGCAGTTATGTAATGTCTAACCTTAGCAGAATCCCGCATCTATGGAATATGGAGAGAATGTCTGCTACATCCATTTAGACATGAGCAGAGAATGGGGGGTAAGGGTGGGGGGGGTTAGCGGGCTATAGGCTCCAACAGGACGGACTGGTTCCTGCTATCAGCCCGCCGAACACCCACACCGGGCAAAAATAAAAGACCACTTGTTGATGAGAAAATCTTCCTATACTTTAGTCACAATGTGTACGGGTTAGTGGCTGTTTTTCCCCCACCATAACTCAAGACAGTCGAGGAGTAAAGCTCCGGTACCGAGCTCGCATTCGGCGTATCTGTGTATGGTCGAGATGACAATCAAATGAGAGGCACTGATGGTATTTTGCTAACTATAAGTTAGCCGAAAGCTAGCTTGAAGTTAGCCTCTGTGCTAACGTTACCTCACTCGCGGAGCCCGCTGAATTTCCGAGTCGTCGAGCCCGCGCCGAAATGTTCCCTAATCATTTCCGTACCGCTCGCTACGGTTCCATGGCTCGAAAAACAAGTTTCAAAGCGACGGTCGGGCCCGAGCCCGAACGAGAAATACATTAAACTGCATTTGGTCTACAACTGCTTATCTATGCTTTCACCAGGAACTAATGCTGCATTCAATGTTCTGCGTACAATTTCAATCCGCCAAATGTCCACACAAAGTGCATTTGAGTGCTTGTGTCAGGTTTGCGCTCGTCTATATCATGATGGAAACGGTTTTAGTTAAACAATTTAAGATGAATACATGTACTTAGGTTATATTTTTTTAGGGTTTACTGTAACAACACACTTGGCCCTTTGATTCCCCCTGTAATGTAGTTTATACGGCTAAATCTCCATAGTTTCGGTGGCTTTGGAGGTTTTCTTGTTTGTTTTCTGTTTGTGCGTGTCAAAATTCCTACCATTCAGACATTACTTAAATGTGTCATTAAATTCACGCTGAGATCATTTCCTCTCATGTTTATGTGATGTTGATCCGTGTTGTTTTGATTTTGTTTGACCTCACGCATGCATCCTTGGTTCAAATGCAAATAGCTGTGTCTGATATTTGATCACACACTGTAACTTTGACTTGAGGCACATGCTGGATTGCCTCCCCTGTTTAACCTAAGTCATTCAAATTAGTTTGAAATCAAAACAAGAATTTTCAGTTCGTCAGAAAATATCTGGATTTTTTTTATGTTGACTTTCAGTTACCACGTACAGTTAAAGTAATGTAACATGCAACACAACTTCCAACCGCTTCTTTGTTTATTTTCCTTTAATTACAAAGTAGGAAAACATTACAATTTTATTCATCAAAATATCCCCAGACAGCATCCTTCCATCAAAGCTATAATATCATATTATATGAAAATAATATACAACTTCTTGAATAAATAATTAAACATACATTCAACAGAATAAGAGATAATAACCATAACAGTAGTAATAATGATAATAATAAATAAATATCAAGCCTGTTGAGCACTTTTATGGATAGATGAAGACGCTTCACAAAACAGAATAGAGAAAAATTGCACAACATTAAAATAGCATTAAAGTTTGTGTCGGTTGGTTTTGAGGTGTGATTAAAGTGAGATTGTGTGTGTGTGTGTGTGTGTGTGTGTGTCTATCATACGACTGTGTGTGGTCCTACTTTAGTCTGACTGTTGCAAATGACATAAACTAGTCTTTGTTGTTGTTGTTTAGTGAGTTTCTCGGTCAACCTGGTTAGACTGTAAATAATTCAAATTCACCATAGTTTGTATTTTATTAAATTCAGATGAACACAAATTCAAACCATGCATTTTGAAGCTTCTCAGTAAAGGCTATGAACATATCACGACCAAAGTTGAGCCGGCTATAATTCATATAAAATGATAAGCCCCGTAAAATTTCCTGTTCAACACATTGTCACAAATAACACACCATCAGTAGACTGTATTATTGTTTAATAAACAAGAATTACCACAGTGCCAGTTAGCAGCTAAGGTCCAGATCATTTAGAGACTGCACGCATATTTCAACATCTTAATGCTAATCTGCCAAATAACCCAAGTAGGAAAAATACTTACCACAATGTTTTACAATGTTCAAAATGAACTCACCACTTTGGGCAACCTAGTCGAATGCAAGTGAGAAATATTCCCAAGTTTCATTTAGCCTTTATGCTCCTTTAAGTGTTGGCAAAAATACTTTCATGCTATATTTTCTTATATCAAAAATCACTTCCGGTTTTCATCAATACCCAAATCAACCTGAACCAAAATCTCCAGCTGTCAAACTCTCGTTCCTTTGGTTCCACTTCTGTCTCTTTTGCAATAATGGCAGCTATTCCCTGACCCGATATTCCCAAAATATACTGAACTTTTTCCAGCTACATTTTGCTTACATATCAGAGGGTTAAAAAAAAAACCTCAAGCTTCAAAGCGGGGTGTCCTTTTAACAGAAGAAGTTGATTTAACTCCAACAAAACTGGTTCTGCTGTCTGAGCTGATAATGAAAACCTGAACCCTATATACATTTACATTGACTCATCAGGAGGATGAGTCAATGTAAATCTCTGATGAAAGCTTCTGTCTCAAGCAAGTTTGCCCCCTCAGTGAGAACTGCTCCACTCGCCATGCAGGTAGACATTACTCCATAACATCTGCAAGTTGCCTTTCACATCAGAGCACTTAACCTCCTGAGACCCTGTGTCCTCATAAGAGGACGTTGCATTTTTGTCTCTCTTTACCATGATACTTCTTTTTTTCTTTCAGCTTTGACCTCTTGGCCTCATAGCAGATGCTATCAGACACTGTTTGAAATCTAAAGTAAAATGGTTTTATACATTTCCATCCAATCATGTTCTTATTGTGTAATAGAAAAAATGTAAATAAGTCAATGGGACTGTCAGAACAAAATTGTAAAAACATTTAATTAAATATGTATCTCATATATCTTTAAAAAAAAAGCTAAAATGCATGCCAAATAAAAGCTCGGGTCTCAGGAGGTTAATACACCATCCTTAATGTGTTTTTTTTTTCATGTGGGTGGGTCTTGAAGGGAGGACTCAGGTGCGGAGATGAGGGAAGACACGGTTTATTGCAACAAAAAAGTGGAAGTCCAGACAAAGTACAAATCAAGGCTGTGGAAAACTGTGAGCAAAGTAACAAAGCAGTAAGCAAACGAGACTGAGGCAAAACTATGACTGTGACAAAGTAGCAAAATAAAGATTAACAAAACTGTGACGATGACAAAAAGCAAACCTGGCGTGGGGGTGACGAAGGACGAAACGGACAAAAGACGAAAACGCACTCGCACCAGACAAGGGGAAACGAGGACTATTTAAACACATGAGGAGGGGAACCCCAGGTGTACACAATAGGTCATCAAGACGAGACGAGACACCA